CTAAAAAAATTAAATTGTGATTTTTCTTATCTTTATTTTTAACTAATTTAATTATAACTGATCAATTAACTTCTTTTAAAAAAAATTATTGCAACATTTTGTTAATCCACATAAAATAAGTACAATGCATTAATAATCATACACTACTTTTGCCAAAAAAATAATCATACACTACTTTTTTTACCTTTTTCTTCAATTGAAATTACTACTGAATTTATAATTTTTTAGAGGTTTTAAGACATTGAGTTTGTTTGTTTTGATTCTTGAAGTTACATTTGATAATATATCATGAAATTACATCTTCTTCTGCGCAAGTTACATATTAATGTACGCGAGTTACATCTTAATATACGTGAGTTACATCTTAATGTATGCGAGTTACACCACGGAATAAACTCCAGCTATATCATTTTTATTGCCCTAATATTAAAAATAAAAAATATTCACTATTTATAAAAAAAAGTAATTAAGCTATTAGCATCAATTTTTCATTGTTTACGGGTTTAATGCACCAAATCCCCCTGTGATATGGAAATTCAGCATATTGCCCCTTATGATTTAAAAAATGCGTCAAACTCCCTTTTGTTTTAATTAATTATGCGCAAAATCCCTTCTATGAACAAATTCAGTTGTCAAATATAAGAAAAATGATTAACATTTTTGTATGCTTTAGAGATTTTGACATATTTACTTGCATATTCAATCAGAATATTAGGAAAAGTGATCTCAAAATCATTAAATTTCGTCATAAAAGGGGTTCTAGGCATGATTAATTAAAACACACGGGGATTTGATGCATTTTTCAAATCAAAGGGAGCTAAAGCGCTGAATTTATATATCACGAGGGGGTTTGGTGCATTAAACCGCATTGTTTACATTGAAACCAATGTTTATAATATCTCAACCACACAAAAAAATCATTGTTCAATTTTCCAACAAGTTACATTCTAAATACACATAAGTTACATTTGTCATCAACGCGAGTTATATTTGTAATAACACGAGTTACATTAAAAAATCAACCCCTACTATTGAAACAAAAAAAATGATCTTTTCTAAAAATTATTTTTTTATGACCATGATATTAAAAACAAAATATATTCTCATTTTACCTAAAGCAATTATGCAATTAGACTCTCATTTTTCACATTGAAATCAATATTTTATTTCTTATATCATGTATTTGACAAGTTACGATTCGAACGGACTTGGGTTAATCAATAACGCGAGTTACATATCTTTACACGCGAGTTACATCATTCATGTTACTGGGACAAAAATAAAAAAACAGCTACTGTACACGTGTGTACTGTTCACGTGTGTACTGTTCACGTGTGTACTGTTCACGCGATTTTTTTTAAATTGTGCAAAACTACGTCGTTTTTTGGAGTGGAGCATGATGCTCAAGGTGCGCCGGTTGCACCGTATACGAACTGATATATACACAATGAAATTAAAAAAAAATCTAATCTTTTATTAGTTGTGGGACAAATCAATATATACATATATAAAAGAGGAACTTTTTAAGAGCATACAAAGCGCCACATAATCCTACCATGTCATTATATATAACAATTATTTACTTATTTTTATATCTTTTGTTTTTATTAGATTCTATTTTTGATTGCATATTGATATGGAAACAAAAAATCCTTATAAATCCACCTTAATTAATTTGGTAAGCTTCAAATAAGTAAAATAATTTGGTCATCAAAGTGAAATTCTAATAACGTTTATTGATATGGAAACTAATTTATATTAGTTTACTACACGGAATTAAATAGAAACAAATATGCAAATTAGTTTACTTATTAATTTGACACCTATTAGTAAATTAGTAAGCTTCAAATAAGTAAATAATTAAAAATGAAATTAAAAATTGTAACCAACATAAAGTATGTATATTTTGACAAGTAAATATGTTTAGCTTAGTCAAATAAGTAAAAAAAATTGTTGTTTCTTTATTTTACACCTAAAATTCAAATATGCCTTCACTTTTGAAATAGATTCCTAATCCAAATTAGAAAATCTTTATAGGTTTACGAATTCCTACTTTTATTTTAATAGAATGTTTTTAATTGGATTGATTTCAGTTCCAGATTAAATCAGACCAGATCAAACTTTAATAATTATAACAATAAGTCACATAAAAAACAGACATCTAATAGAACATATTAATTCATACCAAATCAAACCCGAAATTTCAATTCAATTAAAAACGTTCTTATTAATTAGTAAACTGTAAGGATCTAACAATTAAGAAATACATATTTTTTTTTATTATTGGGTTCATAACAATTATGTTTACTTGAGATGCTTATGTAGAAGACCAATTTAACTTTTTTTCACATTTTTTTTTCTTTGTTTCACAAATGGAATATATTTCACATATATTTTTCATGATTCAGAAGATTCCGCCTATTTAACCAGAATTCAACCAATTTCGGCAAAATAAGTTAATTCTATTTACTTTAGTATTATCAAACAGACTCTATATTAGACTAAGTTTATTTTTCTTTTAAATCACATTATATGTGATCCGATAGAAATTAAATTTCAAATTAGCTAAATGACATATTGTCCGTGCATCGCACGGGCTTGAAAGCTAGTAATAGATAAGAATATAATAAAAATATAACTAACAATAAACGGGGCGGGTGCAGGGATGAGCATGTATAAAACTGTAACCGCCCCGTTACCCGTAAAAACAAAATGAGTATTCCCGCCCCGTACTCGTTACTCGATCAATGCGGTTTTCCCTGTTTGGTTAATTTTAATTGACGTCCGCCAACATAGCTCATGTGACGCATTTTGTACTAAATATAATCTTTCTCAAAAAATTATGCATCACACTTTTTATACAAGGCCACACATAAAATGGTTCCACTTTTACAAAAGGTTTTATGAGTCGCATACTATTTAAAATGCGACTCGTAAACTTTACGCATCATATATTATATGCATAAGCGACTTATTAGGGGTGATTTCTTAGGGTGTTTATGTAGTAGTGTCACTCTATGCCGACGGATCAGGAGAAAGCTGGATCATCAACACTTCATCTTTTTCTTCCAAGATCAAAAGATCGAAGGCTAAAACAGATGACGATGTAGTCATTGTTGGTGATACCACAAGTGAAGCGGTCGTCGTCACGACTACAAGCCTTGCTTCAAGCACAAGCAACAGGCCTCTCCATCCTCATGGCAAGGGAAAAGCTGACTGCAATTTTATGCGGCAGAAAATTAAACCCTACGCAGGCAAGCAGCTCTGCGAGGAAGAGAAGCTCTCAACCCTTACAAAGTACTTATAATAATTCTTGCTCCAGATTGAATAAATCATGAATAGGCTATCATTAGCATTTAGTAATTAGATTAGATGTTTTTCCTAAAATTTTACTAATAAAAATCTATGGACAAAAATGTGACTATAAGTTATTATGTGTAAGTTCTATAGTTACTATGATGCGATATTTTAATACAATTATACTCACTAAAGTTATTAGGGTCATATTTTTGTCCGTTACTTTTATTTTGGTTATATTTTTGGAATTATTTCTTGTAATTAATCATATTACTTATTTTAGCATATCACTGCTAACACCGATTTTCTATATTTCATTTGCCATATAATAATTTATTATGGAGTATATTAAAGTTCAAGTAAAGCATGATAATTTATCCATATCGTACATTTACCATGCCGAAATTACGGTAAGGTAATGGCATATATTTTCACACACAGAAAGTTTACGATATGGTAAAAGTGTGAGATATAATATTTGATATACCGACTGAAGTACCCCTGACTTTAAACACATAACTAGGGATGGACTAAACCGGCCCGGCCCGGAACCGGCCCGGCCCGCTACTGTGCAGGCCCGGACTGGACTGGGACCGGTTGGCCGGTTCCGGGATTTTAGCCCGTTTGGGCGGGTCGGGCGGGCCGGGCTCGGGCCCAGTTTTGGGCGGACCGGCCCGGGCGGTTCGGGCCGGGCCCGGGTCAATTTTTTTTTGTTTTTTCAATTTTTTTTTCTTTTCCTAGGGTAGGGCTGGGTGTTTTGGGGAGGTTTGGGGGGTGGGGGTGAGGGGGGTCGGGGGATAACAAGAAAGGAAAAAAAATAGACATTGAACCGGGCCCGGCCTGGCCCGGTTAGGCCCGGACCCGGTATAATTTTAAGAAAATTTTCAATATTGTTAATGTTATATTACATGGATCTACCGACTCAAATGTGTGACCCGTTGGAATGGTTGGATCAGGAGCTGAAACAATAATTGCATATTTGCTTGATATACTCATATACAAATCGAGTTGAAAGCATATGGTTAATAAATTGCTCTTTTATTATTATTGTTGTTGTTGTTTATTGCTTATTCTTATTTTATTCAGATTAGAAAAATGCAGATCATATCAGAATAAATAAGATGAGATCAGAAAGATTCAGATCAAATAAAAAAAATTCAGATCACATAAGTCTAAACATGATTTAATACTCATATTATTACTATTCTTGTTGTATTTATCCTCGCCATCATCATCAATATTATTATCAACATTATTGTTATTTATTATTATTCTGGTTGTTATCGATGTTATTATCAACATTATTATAAGTGTTGCTGTTTATTCTTGTTTCTTTGTAATTGTTATTTGTTTTTTGTAATTATTATTTGCATGTTATTATAAATATAAAAGAATAAGTTCTTACTATTAATATTAAAAAAATAATGTTATTACACCATATTATTATTAGTATGTTATTATTGTAGGTTGTTTCCATAATAAATAATTATGAATATTGTTATTATTATTGCCATTATTTGTATGTTATTATTAGTTAATAAAACATCATATGTTACTATGGTTATTATCAATGATAATTTTGTTACTACACTATATTATTATTAGTTTATTGTTACTGTTAGTAATACTTGTATGTTACTATTATTATACAAATATAATTTGATAACTATAGTAATATGATGTATTATAAGTATTGATAATCCTCAAACTAACTGGAGTAGTTTTATTGTTTTATGGTATCACGCACATCTCTCAGTCTCATATACAAAGTAGTTTAAAAAATGCTTCTGCTGTGTGATTTCATCTCTTACCCCGTTCCCGAAAGCGTTCTCGTAAAGAGATGTCCATTAAACAAGAAAAATGGATTGGGAATTTATATAAAAATGTAAACAGGTAAACTGATGCCACAGAGGTGAATTGAGACAATTAGGTAAGAAAAAGTGTCCATACAGAAGGGGTTCAATCTATAAAACTTAAAAAGACACGCCGCAAGCCACTGTATGAGGAAGGAAGGTTCCCACCTGGCAGCTATTGCTTTGTCTGTGGTGCTACTACTAGCAACAATTCAATATTCAGCTGGAATGATTCTCCTGGCTGCATCAAGAGTGGAAATTTCAGCAACTTTGGCATAAAACGGAGATGTTAATTGATGAAAGATGTTATGTTAGAGCAGGCTTTTGAAGTTCATGGCACATGAAGATTCATTCTCTATACTACCTGTGTGACTGTGTCCCATAAACAGATTATTATTACTAAAGTTTTTTTTCACCCCAAAAGAGTCTAGTTTGATAAAATGAAGATAAGTTTTCAAGAAATCTGCTGAAAATAGAGTAACAACCACATTCAAAATGATACATTTAGGTCATCATCATTATCATTACCCCAGTGCCGCAAAGGCTCTCACCTACGGTGGGGTAGGGGGGTCGTATGTGCGCAGTCTTATCCCTGTACTTAAAGCACATAAAGCACAGAGAGACTGTTTCCGGTAATCCATAGTGAAAATCGCGTCAAAAATTGCATGGACTGACAAAGAAGCGCAAACAGTTTAGTGAGCTCATTTGCTTTATTCCATCATATTTCCAAGCCAAAAAATAGTGAGTCTTTGGCTCTATTGCAAATGGATGAAATAAAACGATACATTTAGGTAAATCATCAAATAAATTTCTAAAATATGTGTCATTTATGATTTATCACAATTACACATGTACCAAAATATAAAGTTAGGCACAGGTCAAACAAGATACTGGTCAATCAAGCATTCAATACCATCTAAAGGAACCATGTAACATGCAATGAAAACCTCTGTTTTTTGACCTAATGTCCAAAGTAACTTGTCATGTTGATACCATATCTTCTGACAACATATGCAGCAGTGGATTTCAAATTCTTACCGGAATCTCATTCATGCCTTTTGGACCATATCCTTCCTCAGAAGGAACTATCACAGTCCTCTGCACATTAATAAACAAGATCGCAAAGAATAAGAGATGAACAGAACTGCACTTGACAAGGACCGTTTTTTATAAATAAGAAGAAACATATCATTATTCATAAATGTTCCATCATGTGCACATTTGTTTTACAATATCAATTCCGCAGTAGGACATGACTGTAGCAAATATCTCGGCTCTTAACTCTTTGGAAGTTCATGATATTATCCTTGACATTTAAGCAAATATCAATTCCGCAGTAGGACAAGATATTGTCAATGCATTTGAATTTGGAAGTTCATCTCATTATTCCTTCTTTAGAAGGTTGTGTGAGATGACATTCAATGTAAAAATTTGTCACTGTTTTTTGTGTGAATATTGTGTTACCTAACTTCCGGCAAAACTGACATTATAAATTTCACGTCACCACCCCATACAGTTGGGACTTGGGATTAAGGTGCTGATGATGATTAAGATGATGATGAAACATATCATAACACCTTCCCTCCAACTTTCATTCCTTCAGTTAGTTTGTACATTGCTTTAGGAGGTTTTGGAGCAGCTTGAGCAGAAAATAAACCATTTGGATTGTCAACAAAGTCACGCTTCCGCTCTTTCCCTGGTGGTGCTCCAACCTGGAACTCATATGGCTGGTGTATAATGAAAGCTTGTATCAGCAACTTGTCCACAGATTTGTTTAGACAAGTAGAATGTACATGCTAATAGACATGTTTGGAATCTCATGCATGCTAAAAGTACTAAAACTTCATATTAAAATGTCATCGGAACTACATTGATTATCATTACAACAACAACATCCAAGCCTTATTCTCAAAAGATTTTGGGGTCGGCTAACAAACATTGATTATCATTAGATTAATATAAAATGTAAGGGAAATCATGAATGTATTCCCATGAAAATCATCACCATTTATGATATTTTCCATGCATGAAGGGTTTTTCAAAGGATGGGCGCTACATGTTGGGACATGAACGACACCCGGCAAAAACTTTCATACTGCATTTCGAGGGAGTTAGAATGAAGCTTGTATATTGATTGATACGTAGGCAATATAGTGTACCAAGCATTTTGCTAATTGCTAATACCAGATTGTGACAACAGTGACAACTAACTACCTGTGCGATAATTCGATTTCCAGCCAATAACTTTGATTCTCGGCTTGAAACTGCAGTTATTCCACGATATACACAGTCAAAATGAACCTACAAGGATAGCATGAAGGAAAACATCACAAGCCTATGATACTAAGTGGGAGTCAATAAAACGTTCAGAACAAAATTTTCCCCATGAAAAGAAAAAAATTATTAGAAAATACCTGCACTGTTGCACCTTTTTTGGCCACAGGTCCAGTTCCTTCGATGAGATCATAATACTTCAGCCCATCAACTGATACAAAAGAGGTTACTTTAAAAAAAGAACAGTTTTCAATAGAATTGAGCTAAGATGATCTCATACATCGGTACATTAATAATTAAAGTATTAAGTGCGCACTCACGTCCACCAAACTGATTTAGACATGTTAAATGGTACTACACTACTACCTCCATCCTAGCCTAAGCTTCTCAATGAAAATGGCACACTTATTTAGACAATAATTAAATAAGGTAATTCATGTATATTTTCAGAAGTAATTTGAATTGGTATATAACATAATGACGTCACTGATGATAACTGTGATGTTATATGTGTATTTTTATATATTTAATGATTACTTTGTCATTTAAGAGTGTTGATTATTTCCTAAAATTGAAATGAGAACTTTGGTTGGGACGTTCAAAGAAGGTAAGTGAAAAGCTTAAGCTGGGACGAACGGAGGGGGTAAGTCCGGGTAACTATAAAGTATGAACTCATATTTTATCTGGGTCTATTCAGTAGTCCAAATTTAGAGGGTTTATAAATGCCACTTCAGCGTGAACATATGGAACAAGAACTAAGCTCTAAAATAAGGCTTGAATACTCGAATGGATCTCAAGCACCAGCTTAGGCTTATAAAATTTCTTAGTAAATAAAATCGAGCTGATTATATTCAAGGGGTGATAAATTATTTAAGGGAAATTCTATTAACAGCCACACTTTTGCTACACACAGCTCCTTTATTTCCGTATCAATTAAATTATTTCATAATTCCTGTTATACCCTTTTACTTAAAACAGTCCTTATCAAATCTAAATCCAATGTGTGAAGTAAGTCGCTCCAGGAAGGCTTGAAGTTTCGTTTCCAGAATGGCCAAGAAGTTAAACGGTGATATCCCCCACAATAGGTAGAGCTTTGCCGAGGTGATAACAGCAGTAAGCGGTGCAACACTCCACGAAACTCAATTTGGCTGTTATTACTTATGAGTATTACATTAGGGCGCCCAATAAGAAATTGATCGAAATTCAACATCTCTTTTACATTAAACTCTGGTCTGATAAAACACTCTAATTAGAGCGCCCAATAGCAAATCGGAAACACTTTAATCATCATCTAATAAAACAGGTTATATAAGCCAAATTAAAGGCAAAATAAATGCAAGATGGACTAACAGCTGGTCTGGTAGTCCTCAAGAGGAATAATCTTCCTGTTACGCCTCTCTCTAGCGGGCGAAGGTTGCGGCATCATCAAACTGAGGCTTGAAGGCAGGACTGAGATGAGAATCGCAGACCTTCTTGATAGAGGCAAGGCTGGTAAATTCGTTTGCTTTACATGCTGGCCAGCCATATTCGAAGAGTGATATGCACAGAGAGGAGCTTTGCTGATTACGCATCTTCCAGTGATGTATGTTGCAGCCATGAGGCTTGGTGGTCTGGAGATGTGTTAATGAGTATATCCAGTCATCATCAGATCAATTCAATGGTGACTCCCGATGAATATCAAATTTAGCTCCTCTCCCGTGACTGGAATTCTAGACACAGAGCTAAACGGGAAATAAAGTAAAAAACAAAAGGAGGGAGTAAACGGAGAAGAGTACTACTCGTGTTCCATCTGAATATTCGGGTATGAATAACAAGAAAATAATTAATCAATTCATTAATTATTTTAGGGAAAACCTTCAATATAAACCCTATAGTATAGCAAAAAAAATCAATTAATCTTCGTATTATCGAAACACCCAACTCCTAGAACTATAAAAAACGAAAATGCTTAGTGTACATCTGAAAATGCTTAGTTTACGCTATTTGTACACCATATAAAAGGACAAAAATAAATTTTTTACCCCTCTCCACCTCTCACCCCTTCCCAAAACTCCCACCTCGTCACTTCCTTCTCTCCCAACCTCTCTCCCCCACGTTCGAATCTTTCCGAAAACTTCCGCCTCGCCACTTCCTTCTTCCTCGCCGGTTGTCTGTGCATCTCTCCCTCACGGCTTTCTTCTTCTTCTTCGTCTGCAACGTCCATCCCCTGAAGCCTTCTGTATTCGCACACACCGTGCTCGTCGCGAAGCATCTCCGTGAGTGTGAAAGCCGGTGTCCACCCTCAAGAACCCACCTGCGAAATGGTCTGTACGTCACTGTCATCTTTGGCTGAGGCTTCAAAGAGAAGGTAATATCAACTTTTTGAACACATTTGTGAGTAGTATTGTACAATTTGACCCCCTAATGTGTGGTTTGTGTTTGTTGTTAATTTTTTTTTGAAATCGTTCTGGTATTTCGAAGCTTACGCTTGAAAATATGTGTTTGATGAAGTTAGAAGCACACTATAATGGCCGGATTGTATAATTTTGAATTTGTCTGCGGGATCGATGGATAATGTCTATGGCCAGACGGTTTAGGTTATACCATTTATTATGATGGAAGTCGCTTTCTGTATTTAAATTTGATTTGATATGTTTGTAGTTTGTGATGTGTTGTTTGTCTTCGTTGATAACAAGATTTTTTTGTAATGAATAGTGTATTTTCGAAGTATACACTTAAATTTGATTGAATTTGGGGTTCTTAAGTGGGCATTAATTTGGATTTTGAACATGTCTGGGAGATTGAAATATAAGGTCTGTACATTAGTGTGTAAAAATTATGACTTCATTTGTGTTATTCGTAGGATGAAGCATCAACTTGTTGTTCCCGTTAAGTCTCATTTCCCGGCACAGTATTCTCAGTGCACATATTTTGGCAAATTGGGAAACTTGTTGGACTCCATGCCCATCCGTCAACGGGAGGTGTTCAAGAAGCTTCCATGGGGTCATTTTGCTATGATTCCAGAATTTCAATTTTCCAGGAAGATTGTTCATATGTTGTTGTTGCGGCTGGTTCGGCAACAACCCATGGATGAGTTGTGGTTTTCCATAAGAGGGAGGATATTTAAGTTCACGTTTAAAGATTTTTTTGAAATAACCAACCTGCCGGCGTACACCACCAGACCCACTTTTGTTAAAAAATGAGAAAGGTAGTGTGCCAGATATCTTCTTCAAAGGAAACAAGCGTGTGACGTACCAAGAGTTGAAGGATGCAATGGAGGCGGTGAATCCAAAGAAGAGGATTGACCCGTTAGCTCTTGTGAAGTTGGTTTGCCTTTTCGTGGTTGATGGTGTGTTGCTGACTAGAGACCACGGCACGAAGATCAATGCTGATCATTTTGATTGGGTTGAAGGCTTTGAGAACTTCCAAAAATATCGTTGGGCACTCGAGTCTTATAACCTTATGGCCGGTTAGCAATTTGAAGTCATTGATTTGTGGTCAATCGGAGAAGTTTGAAGCTGCGTTAGCTAAGAATCCTGGCTACAAGAACGCTAAGTTGTCTGTGGCTTGACATTTGATTAACTATTTTCTTGGTTGTTTATACAGGTTTGGGCATATGAGAAAATCCCTGGACTTGCGGGAAAATGCGGCCAAAAAGTAAAATCTAAACATGCTAGCATTTTGAATTGGAAAGTTGTTGGGTTCTTCCATTATTCTTCTTTGGAGGAACTAGTATTCACCGATGAGCCTTTAGAAGAAACGGTAAGATGTTGTTAATTTTCTTTTTTAATAATATGCATGAGGTCATATTACAACATTCAGTCTATTTAATTGACATGGATTGTAGGATGATGAGAGGGATGGTGAAGAAGATGATGAAGAAGAAGAAGATGATGATGATGATGATGATGATGATGATGGAGAAGAAGGTGATAGTCAAGAAGAAGGTGGAACGGAAGATGAGGATGTCAAACTTTTTCGAAAATTGAAGGTGTTGGAAGAGCTTTCAAAAACAAGTGATGAAATTGAACAATTGAGGGGTAATGTTAGAGGCATTGAGGCCACACTTGGTGAGGTCAAAGACATGTTATCTAAGTTGATGGGGGTGGTTCTGCATGGCAAAAAGGAGGTTCCCACTGAAGAGAAGGTATGCTTTCAAAATGTCTGTGCAAGTCAAAATAATTGTCTGTGAATGATATGTAATTGTCTGTGAACCTACATGTTATTGTTTGTCCACTTAGTTTTAATTGTATGTGAAGTAATTCAGTTTTCATGCAAAACATGAAGTTCCCACTGTCGAAGAGAAGACTGATTCTGTTCAAGATAATCAGCGTACTGAGAATGACATGCCAGAAGTGAACATCGAAGAGAAGGTATGATTACCAAATGACTGTGCACTTCAGTTAATTTGTCTTTGTAAATGTCTGTGTACTCAATTCATAATGTGTGTGAAACTATTACCCCTTTGACATCTTAGTGGTTTACAGGTTGAGGAAGAGGATCAAGTCCATAGTGGAGAGCCTGATTTGAAGCATGGCAGTCCGGACGTGGTAAGTGAAGAGAAGGTATGATTGTCGAATCCAACCTTACATGTAATTCACATTTTGTAATTGTCTATGAAATTATTGATATTTTTTCTGCAAAGCATGAGTCTCATGAAGATGATCAGGGAGCTGAGCCAGAAACGGCGCTTGTGGCCACGACCGAAAACGTACGCTTTGCAATTGTGTGTGCAGGTGATTTGGAATTTGTGTGTACTTGCATGTATTTTTCTGTGAAGGAGCAGGATGTTGGGGACAGTGTTCATTCATTGCCTAAATCAACCTCATAAGCTATATTTTGGAAGAAGTTAGTGCATTATTTTTTCATTTAGTAATTGTTTTGAGCACTCATTAATGTTTTTATAATATTACGTATTTCGTAGTTGAAGGATGCGGATCTGGTCCTAGGAGATTGTGAGTCACTCCTTCCTAATAAGGTTAACTTGTTACCATTCTCTTGACATAACACAACGTCTGTTTGGAAGAAAGTTGTTTAATAAGGTTAACTTATTTATTTCGTTTTGTAGGATGATGCATTCCTCGATGAAGAAGTGACCGCCCTAACACCTTTTCAAAATGTGGATTGGGAGGATCTTGTTGAAGATGATGTTGAAATAACCAAACCCCAACCTGCAGAGAGGAAATGAAGAAAAGAAAGAGGTTTGTGTCCAAGTACCATAGCAGTCCTTTTATGGATCCATGTGCTAAGCGGATTAAGCCGAGTGAAGATGGAAGCGGGACAGAAGTTCAGAAAGAAGATAGTGTTCAATGAGCTCAAGACTTGGGTGAAAGGCCCTGCTACTGAGGAACCAATTTGTGTGACTTTAGACATTCCAGGCTCCATTGGTGTGGATAGAAAGTTCTTTCGCGACCTGATAGACCCATAAGAATGGGTAAGCAGTGTGGTAAGTGTACAATTATATTCCCAACTAAAACGATTTTACTAAGTGCTTGTTTCCACAGACATTACTCAGAAATGCATGTGTCCACAGACAATTGTATCATTAACTTCAACCTTTTCCTTACAGCGCATTGATGCCCTGACCAACTTCTTGAAGAGTCAGAGAATTGAGGGTCAACAATCTGAATTGGTGTCCCTCTATTTTGTGGTAAAGTCTAAAATTCACTTCTTTTAACCTTACATGTTTCTCCCATCACTATTAAACAAATACGTGTTTGCTAAAATGTAGAATCAATTGATGAGGAAAAATTTGACAAGCCACAAGATTGGAGTGGAGATAGGTTGTTGAAACACATTGACTGGTGTGGCTTGTCGAAGGTATGGCCTATTACATATATTGTGTTCTCCACAGACAATTGTATTGTTATTGCATGGCTACATAGACAATTTGAACAATGGTTTATACATTGACAGTTTTTCATTCCATTGAATGTTGAGGATAAACATTGGATCTTGTGTGAGGTAAATTTGGAGGATGTTGTGGTTAAAGTGCTGATAGAGTATATAGACTCGGACCCCCGGGTCTCACGACTATTGGGCCCGGACAGCGGCCCTCACACATCTTACGGATATCATTTGTATTATTGTACTACTTATATGTCATTTGTATGTAACTATGCACTAGATTAGTCTTTTATGTAGTTGGGCTACCGGGCCCATATTAGTGGCCCGGCCCGTTATTCCTCTATTTATACTCCTTTTGGAGCTTGTAAACCCTAGATCTCAATTCATTATCATTCTATTATTCATCTTCTCCACAATACTTGAGCTCAAATCTCTACATTTTATACATACTTGGATCCTAAGAATCCATCAATGGTGTTCTCGTTGAGAGATTAGAGCACAATCAAGTGAGAAACCCTCCCAAAAATATCAAAAACTTCATCCAAAATACGAGAACTCAGTCAAAAACGGAGCTGGAAATGTCAAGAACAAAAAAGATCAATCTGAAAAAATCTAGATCCAGGTGACAAAAGTCGCTGCAGAGGTCGTCGGACGCCGCCACGGCAGAAAATTGCCGCTGGAACTCACCGACCTGTTCACTGATCTCGCCGGCCTTGGAGTTGACACCGGACGCAGTTTGCTGAAGCTTGCCGCTGCTCCAGTAGGAGCAGATCTTGAAGTCTCCTGAGCCGGAGCTATCATCGCAGTCTTCGAAGCCGCCCTGCAAGCAAACGCCTGCGGATGCCCCAGATCTCGCCACCAACGTCGAAGCATCGCCGCCCAGATCTCACCGGCACTGCTCCAGGATGCGCCGTTGCTCCGGATCTGATTTCCCAAGGGCGGTCCACCATTAATGGCCGTTTGGGAGCTCCTGGAAGGGATGTTCGACCTCGCGTTCAGGATTCTCCACCTTCTCCCGTTACAACCAACGCTTGAAGCTTGCTTCTTCGCCGGTGCTGCCAGTCGCAGCTCCGCGATCGTCTGGTGAGCCCTCCATTAATGGCCACAGCAATTTCCCTGTTCAAAGCTTCCACTCCAGATCTCGCCGGAGACAGGGCAACGTCGAACGGAGCAGCAGCAGTTCCGACGAGTCTTTTCCACTCTCCGGCGACGCCCAGGGACGAGAATCTATGATGATTTCACGCACCCTCACTCCTCTGACAGTGACCGAAGACCCACCGCAAAAATGGCCGGCAGAATGCCCTGCGACCAGCGGCAGAGGTATCTCCTCCTCCATTTCTCCTATCTCATTCGCAGAAGCCAAAGGGATTTGATGAATGGGCCCTAAGTTGACCCAGTCAACTGTTGAAGATGCTTGGAAACTTTCAGCCAAGATGGCAGCAGTAGTAAATCGGTGATGGGCCACAATTTCTTCATCAGCCCACAGTTCAGCCCATTTCACAGCTAAGTGCCCAATACTCTTATATATACTCTTAAAATATTTATTAAATGATAGTAGTATAATTATTACTATTATTAATTATATTATTTCCACCACCATTATGGCGGGTTAAAAACCCCCCGAGGTGGTGAAGACCATTATGAGGGATTAAAATTTCCCGAGGTCGCTAATGAAAATTTATTATTGGCGTTATTATTTTCACCATCGCCTCGTCATCATTTATTTGGACCGACTCCTCATCGTAGTTGTCCTCACATCACGACCGGCCCCTCGGCCTCGGCGTGATCATCTATCTCAAGACCGGCTTCCTCAGCGCCGTGAGTCTTGAGCTAGCGATCGGGCTCGCCATCCCTTCCCGGATGGTGACCATCGCCTTTATATGACGATCGGCTTCATCAGCGCCTCGTCATCATATTATAGGACCGGCTCCTCATCGCCGTTGTCCTCACATCACGGCCGGCCCCTCGGCCTCGGCGTGATCATCTATCTCAAGACCGGCCTCCTCAGTGTCGCGAGTCTTGAGCTAGCGATCGGGCTCGTCATCCCTTCCCGGATGGTGACCATCGCCTCTATATGACGATCGGCTTCATCAGCGCCTCGTCATCATATTATAGGAACGGCTCCTCATCGCCGTTGTCCTCACATCACGGCCGGCCCCTCGGCCTCGGCGTGATCATCTATCTCAAGACCGGCTTCCTCAGCGCCGCGAGTCTTGAGCCAGCGATCGGGCTCGCCATCCCTTCCCGGATGGTGACCATCGCCTTTATATGACGATCGGCTTCACCATCGCCTCATCATCATTTATTTGGACCGACTCCTCATCGTCGTTGTCCTCACATCACGACCGGCCCCTCGGCCTCGGCGTGATCATCTATCTCAAGACCGGCTTCCTCAGCGCCGTGAGTCTTGAGCTAGCGATCGGGCTCGCCATCCCTTCCCGGATGGTGACCATCGCCTTTATATGACGATCGGCTTCATCAGCGCCTCGTCATCATATTATAGGACCGGCTCCTCATCGCCGTTGTCCTCACATCATGGCCGGCCCCTCGGCCTCGGCGTGATCATCTATCTCAAGACCGGCTTCCTCAGCGCCGCGAGTCTTGAGCTAGCGATCGGGCTCGCCATCCCTTCCCGGATGGTGACCATCGCCTTTATATGACGATCGGCTTCATCAGCGCCTCGTCATCATATTATAGGACCGGCTCCTCATCGCCGTTGTCCTCACATCACGGTCGGCCCCTCGGCCTCGGCGTGATCATCTATCTCAAGACCGGTTTCCTCAGCGCCGCGAGTCTTGAGCCAGCGATCGGGCTCGCCATCCCTTCCCGGATGGTGACCATCGCCTTTATATGACGATCGGCTTCACCATCGCCTCGTCATCATTTTTTTGACCGACTCCTCGTCGTCGTTGTCCTCACATCACGACCGGCCCCTCGGCCTCGGCGTGATCATCTATCTCAAGACCGGCTTCCTCAACGCCGAGAGTCTTGAGCTGGCGATCGGGCTCATCATCTCTTCCCGGATGGTGACCATCGCCTCTATATGATGATCGGCTTCACCATCGCCTCGTCATCATTATTTGGACCGACTCCTCATCGTCGGCGTCCTCATATCACGATCGACCCCCTCGGCCTCGATGTGATTATTTATCTCGAGACCGGTGTTAGTCATCCCTTCCCGGATGGCGACCGTTGCATGGATCTTCGGACCGGCCCCTCAGTGCCTTCGTCCTCATATCATGACCGGCCCCCTCGGCCTCGACGTGATTATTTATCTCGAGACCGGTCTTAGTCATTCCTTTACCGAGTGACGACCGTTGCATGGATTTTTGGACCGGCCCCTCATCGCCGTCGTCCTCACATCATGCCCGGCCCCTCGGTCTCGGCGTGATTATCTATCTCAAGACCGGCTTCCTCAGCGCCGAGAGTCTTGAGCTGGCGATCGGGCTCACCATCCCTTCCTGGATGGTGACCGTTGCCTCTATATGACGATTGGCCCATCATGGCCTCGTCATCATTTATTGGAACGGCTCATCATCGCCGTCATGCTCACATCGCGGCAGACCCCTCGGTCTCAACGCGATCTTGAGCTAGCGACTGGGCTCACCATCCCTTCCTGGATGGTGACCATCGCCTCTATATGACGGCCGGCTCATCATTGCCCCGTCATCATATTTCGGATTGGCTCTTTTCATCGCCATCCGCGCATCACGACCGACCCCTCGGCCTCGGCGTGACTATCTATCTACAGACCGGCTTTCTCAGCGCCGAGGGTCTTGAGCTAGCGATCGGGCTCGCCATCCCTTCCTGGATGGTGACCATCGCCCTTATATGACGATTGGCTTCATTCTTGCCTCGTCATCATATTATCGGATCGGCTCATCATCTCCGTCCGCACATCACGATCGGCCCCTCGGCCTCGGCGTGATTATCTATCCCCAAGACCGGTCTTAGTCATTCCTTCATCGGATGGCGACCGCTGCTTGGACTTTTGGATCAGCCTCATAGTGCTGACGACCCCGCATCACGATCGGCCCCTCGGCCACGACGTCACACCCTATCCCAACACCGGCTTCATCAGCGCCGAGTGTGTTGGGCTAGCGATCAGGCTCGCCATCCCCTCCTGGATGGTGACTATCGCCTCTATATGACGATCGGCTCCATCATCGCCTCGTCATCATATTTCGGACTGGCTCCTCATCATTGTCATCCGCACATCGCGATCAGCCTCTCGGGCGCGACGTGATTATTTCTCTCAAGACCGGCTCCCAGCGCCGAAGTCTTGTTATAGCGATTGGGCTCGCCATCCCTTCCCGGACGGCGACCGTCGCCCCTATATGACGCACGGCTCATCATCGCCTCATCCTCACATTTAGACCGGCCCCAGCGCCGAAGTCCTTATCTAGCGACCAGGCTCGCCATTCCCTTCCTGGATGGTGACTGTCGCCTTCATATGACGCATGACTTATCATCGCCTCGTCCCCATATTCGGACCGGCTCACCAGCGCCATCGTCCCCATATTCGGACCGGTTCGTCAGCGCCGTCGTCCTCATATTCGGACTGACTCATCAGCGTCGTCGTCCTCATATTCAGACAGGCGTCCACCGCCTCGTCCCCCTATTCAGATATAGCGAACATCTTGCGGTCTCCGGCCGAAAGGCTAAAGGAGCCCAGAGTTCAGCCATATATCGCTCCGTCATCTTTATTTGATGACGCGAAGCTCATTTGTAGGCCCATCGGCCATATATCGCTCTGTCATCTTTATTTGATGATGAAGAGCTCATTTGTAGGCCCATCGGCCATATATCGCTCTGTCATCTTTATTTGATGATGAAGAGCTCATTTGTAGGCCCATCGGCCATATATCGCTCTGTCATCTTTATTTAATGACGAAGAGCTCATCTACAGGACCATCGGCCATATATCGTTCTGTCATCTTTATTTGATGACGAGGAACTCATTTGTAGGCCTCTGAGCCACATCTTGTTGCGTCATCTTTATTTGATGACGCGAAGCTCAGTTGCAGGCCCATCGGGCATATATCGCCTCGTCATCTTTATTTGATGACGCGAAGCTCATTTACAGGCCCATCGGCCATATCTCGCTCCGTCATCTTTATTTGATGACATGGCGCTCTCATATAGGCCTCTCTCGGCCATACATCACCCCGTCATCTTTATTTGATGATGTGGGGCTCTCATGTAGGCCTCTCGGCCATCCATCGCTCCATCGTCTTTATTTGACGACGCGGAGCTCTTATGCAGGCCCCTCGGCCGCACCATCGCCCCGTCGTCTTTATTTGACGACGTGGAGCTCTTATGCAGGCCTCTGAGCCATACATCACCCCGTCGTCTTTATTTGACGACGTGGAGCTCTTATGCAGGCCTCTGAGCCAGACATCACCCCGTCGTCTTTATTTGACGACGGGGAGCTCTTATGAAGGCCCCTCGGCCGCACCATCGCCTCTTCGTCTTTATTTGACGACGTGGAGCTCTTATGCAGGCCCCTCGGCTGCACCATCGCCCCGTCGTCTTTATTTGACGACGTGGAGCTCTTATGTAGGCCCCTCGGCCGCACCATCGCCCCGTCGTCTTTATTTGATGACGTGGAGCTCTTATGCAGGCCCCTCGGCCGCACCATCGCCCCGTCGTCTTTATTTGACGACGTGGAGCTCTTATGCAGGCCCCTCGGCCGCACCATCGCCCCGTCGTCTTTATTTGACGACGTGGAGCTCTTATGCAGGCCCCTCGGCCGCACCATCGCCCCGTCGTCTTTATTTGACGACGTGGAGCTCTTATGCAGGCCCCTCGGCCGCACCATCGCCCCGTCGTCTTTATTTGACGACGTGGAGCTCTTATGCAGGCCCCTCGGTCGCACCATCGCCCCGTCGTCTTTATTTGACGACGTGGAGCTCTTATGCAGGCCCCTCGGCCGCACCATCGCCTCGTCGTTTTTATTTGACAACGTGGAGCTCTCGTACAGGCCTCTCGGCCCATCGGCCTTACGTTCTGGTCATCTTTATTTGATGAACCAGACATCATATTGTGGACGGTCGCTCGACCCATCCCTTAGTCATCTTTATTTGATGACTAGGACTACTGATCATGATGAGCTACCCACATCTGAAGATTGGCCTCGACCATCCAGCAGACGGGCACCGCTACAGCTCCATCTCCAGGCCGAAGGGCTCGCACCTTTTGTTTCATTTTGGGGGCATCCGGTGTACTCTTTTTCCCTCATTATGATTTTTTCCCACAGGGTTTTTCCTAATGAGGTTTTTAACGAGGCATCTCCCCATCGTGGATCAAAAGGTGTCAACCCTCGGCCCCCTGTTGAAGACATCATCCGACACGCATTACTCTACTCCTCTTCACCTCATTACACTCGCCTCAAGGAGTGGGGGACTGGAAGAGCGGGGGACTTAGCGCCTCTGTTAACCAAAGAAGCAGAAATTCAAATTTTTGTTCATGAAGTTTACTCACCAGACGGTGACAGATCAGCACACAGTTCTACTCTCTTTCGCCTCGAATACTCTCGACTCAGAGAGTGGGGGACTCCTGATAGAGTATATAGACTCGGACCCCCGGGTCTCACGACTATTGGGCCCGGACAGCGGCCCACACACATCTTACGGATATCATTTGTATTATTGTACTACTTATATGTCATTTGTATGTAACTATGCACTAGATTAGTCTTTTATGTAGTTGGGCTACCGGGCCCATATTAGTGGCCCGGCCCGTTATTCCTCTATTTATACTCCTTTTGGAGCTTGTAAACCCTAGATCTCAATTCATTATCATTCTATTATTCATCTTCTCCACAATACTTGAGCTCAATTCTCTACATTTTATACATACTTGGATCCTAAGAATCCATCAAGTGCGTAGTATGCATTTCAATTGTGCATGAGACTTCCTTATCTACTTCAAGAAATTCAACATAGACTATCACGTCCCTTACACCTAAGACTATGGGAGGCTGTGGTTGTTGATGGGGTTCCGCAACAAGCAATGGGGTAAAAATTATTTGTTTGAAAATGTTATGGTTATGGTGTTTGATGCGTCTATATTCGTATAGGATGGTAGTTGATGTATTCTCACATTTGTTGGTACTACGTCTTCAACATTGCTTGGTTCGGCCACTTCCAGTGATGTTTTCCCAGCTTGCTTTTTTGGCCGCCCCTGTCATACATTGCAATAGCAGTTAATATTTGTGGCCACACATATTTGTACTTGTAGTGGGTAAATGTCTGTGGCCAGACAAATTTGTCCGGTAGCACAAGCATTTCACACTAGGGTCAACATGTAGTTCCAGTGGGTAAATGTTTTTGGCCAGACATATATGTCCGGTCTCACAGGCATTTCACACTTGGGTCAACATGAAGTTCGAGTGGGTAAATGTCTATGGCCAGACAAATATGTTCGGTCTCACAGGCATTTCACACTTGGGTCAACATGAAGTTCCGGTGGGTAAATGTCTGTGGCCAGACAAATTTGTCCGGTCTCACATGCATTTCACACTTGGGTCAACATGAAGTTCCAGTGGGTAAATGTCTGTGGCCAGACAAATTTGTCCGGTCTCACAAGCATTTCACACTTGGGTCAACATGAAGTTCTAGTGGGTAAATGTCTGTGGCTAGACAAATTTGTCCGGTCTCACAGGCATTTCACATTAGGGTCACGATGGACTTCCAGTGGATAAATGTCTAGGCCGGTGTCACAGATAACTTGGTGTACCTTTGTTTTTTTGTTCCCCTTTTCAATAGACCCTTTTATCATGTTCTTTCTAGGAGCGCCTTTATGTTTTGTCCTGTTTGGATCTTGAATAGGGAGACTACTTTGTGCTTTCACGTCTACGACTTGGATTGGGGCGTTGTCCGTTAATTGAGTCATAACTCCACAAATTGAAGAACGGGTATTTGATACCTGCATTTCTTTCATCGCAAGAGATTAGCATTTTGATACTCACTAGCAATATAGCATTTTCTAGCTCTTGTATTAGCAACTGGTCTGGAACTCTCGTTCGGCCATTTCTCTGTAATTAGTATTAACATCCTAATACAATTAGCTATTGAACCGTTTTGTCTATGGATCATCTTTCTCACTTCCTTTCTTTCTTAAACATATTGACGATAACCAAAGGGCTGTGTTGGGCATTTGGATCCACACGAATTAACCTCAACATGTAGTTTGTTCATTGACTAGGCACAGCTGACCAAAAAACGAAAAAGTTAAAGTCACGTGGGTACACGTAGACAGCTACCAGATGAATTGGTAATCAACCGGCTAAAAGTTAAAATTGAGCGTTTTTTATAGTTCAAGTGGTTGATTGGGTGTTTCGATAGTACAGGGACTTAATTGACTTTTTGCCTATACTAATGATGTCCTTGGACCAAAATCTTACAAGACATCTATATAATTTAATAAAGCCAACCCCTACCATAAATCTTTATAGAAATTTTGACATGTGGCAATATTGTTTGTAAGAAATATTGACGTGGCATAACCTTGTGGAGGACTAAATGACATGTGGCACAATCTTGTGTAAGAAAACTTTGAAATTTGGCCACACCATAGCATTTACTATATGAATATCAAGGGACATCATAACTGCACACACATTCATATACACACTAAGGGAGTAGTATCTATTAAACATGGTATCATATATACTCCCTCCGTCCCATTTAAAGGTTCTCATCCACTATTCACATGGTCAATTTAAATCATTCTTAATCTTTTGCTTTATATATCAAATTTTTATGAAATTTACATATTTTTTATCAGCCTTTGTAGCGACTTTAATGTAGTTTCTGAATATGTAAATTTTGTTTTCTAAAAATAATCGGAGTGTGAACAGGGATCAAGTTGCTTTATCGTCAGTCAAGCATCGTAAACTGAATCGGGAACCTCTATATGAGATGGAGGGAGTATTAGTGTAGTAATGTTCCAGCATTAATAACATTTAAAACATGAAAGTAAAAGTGACATTTGGCTGCACAAAAGCATTTACAAAATGAATATTAAAGAACACCATTAGACGTAACTGCGTACAATATGAAATTAAAACCAAAGCCACGATGAATCCCGCCGGTGCAGATCTCTTCTAATTTTTATTTCAATCGGTAATCGTATGAATTCATACAATACACTCAAATACGAAAGAAAACCCAATTCTGATTTTCGACACCCTATTGGCATTTCTCTTTTTTTGATGAGAATGGGCGATGCAGAAACCATCATTGAGGAGGATAATAGAATAGCATATATTTTATTGAGGTCTTCAACGCCAACTTATTTTTAAGTGGTCAAATTTTCTTAAAAATCCGTCAACACTCAAAAGAGTCTTGAGTTGGAAACTTAGAAACTCCAAAAACTTGCCGGTTTTAAACCATAAATACACAAGTGACTATCCACTAATGATTATGAGATGTCTTTGATCAAATTTCAAATCCTCACTTTAAACATATTATCACTCATATGTGTTTGGTAAATTACATTTCTACTTCATATACCACTTATTGAAATTGTGATTCAAAGTCTTTCATGCTTTAAAGTGGACTAATTTTAAATAGGAACGAATTAGTTTTAAAGAAATCACTCTGAATTAGACTTAGACAATAACAAAACATATAAATTTGTCTTTTTTAGTCCTCCGCCCATTATGTGAGTGATGTTTTCGGTACATGTCTTAAATACGTATATATGGAACTATCATACCACATCACGCCAAAAACTTAAATACATTATATCTAACCACACTTAAATAGAGCAAATCAATTTACTAATTTTTATATATAATAAAAAAATCTATATTCTCATTTTTTATGAACACTATACTATACTCACAAATTATTTCACAATTATTTGTATCACATCATTCTACCAATCATGACACTTAGAAAATGTTTGATAACATATAATTTCAACTCATCAATCTTATCAACTACTCAGTATCAAATACGTGACTTTTAATTTTGCATTTTGAATTGTGCAATAATAAAAATAAATAAGGTTGTAATTACTTTTCCAGCTGAATTGGGAGAATTTAATTTATAAGAACATTACTTTATAACATCATTTTAGCTATTTTGTATTAAAAAAATCTTTATTTTATTAATACAAATACACTTTAAATATTTTTTTTCGCACTTAAACATATTTAGTCAATTCAACTAATTCAATCAATTTCAATATTATCAAACATGTTCTAAGTGATATATATGACCATCGCAACCGTCTTTTTTCACCAATTCCTACCACATATACACGCAAATAAAATTACCGTGCGACGCACGTGTACACACACTAGTATCCTCATAAATCATTATTGCTTCTCATAAAGTGTGACACAATTTATTCGTATTCACTCATTTGGTCTAGTTTTCTGTAATTCAACACTTTTAATATATTCATCTAACATAATTTTTTAATTAAATGTATAAATTCTTACTTTTTATTACACATCACTTGTGTGATAATTATATTTGTACCGATAATTTTGATTTAAAAAGTCAAACATTTCGACGAAACAATTAAAAATGTGAATTGTTTTTGTAAGTATTAAAAAATGTAGAAGTGAGTTCAATTTGAAATAAATTCCAAGAAAAATGCACAATATTACATTATATTATATAGGGAAAAATAATTTAAATATCCCAAACTTTGAAGGGGTGTGAAATAAATACCCCAAACTTGCACATGTAATTATATCTACCCCAAACTTTATGTAAAAGTTATATTAGCAGCATGATTATATATTTTTCACAAATATAATTTTATGGTGTTAAGTACATAATTTAGAATGCACAAAACATTTATGAGGATGCAATTAAAATCAAATTGTTCCTGACGTGATTTATTTATTTCACAAATGAAATTTTAGAATATTAATTGCATTCTAACAAAGCTTAGAGAGTATTTTAAATTATGTAATTATTCCAATAAATTTGTATTTAAGAAAAAACGTACAATCATGATGTGAAAATAACTTTTTATATAAAGTTTGTGGTATATATATTACATATGCAAATTTGAGATACTTATCTCATACCTCATCAAAGTTTGGAGTATTTAAATTATTTTCCCCTTTTCTATATTGCTAAATTATTATTTTTATTACCCCCTCCGTCCCACTGAGATTGTCCCATCTGGGTCTGGGACCGGTTCGGTTCTTATATGAGATTAGTGGAACCGTTACAAAAAAAACTTAACTAATAAAATCGTTTCGGTTCCTATCTAAAAATTAAAGAACCGTTATGGAACCGAACCAATAGTAAACGGTTCGATTCTTACTTTCATTGGTTCCTGAACATAAATTTTTTCCATAAAAAAAGTAACACATGCGACTCACATTTTACAATGCAAAATCGTCAAAAATTCAAAAACAAGTAATAAGTACTTTTTGAAAGAATGAAAGAATTTTTTAATTTAGTCAACACTTAATAGAATGAAAGAATTTTTTAATTTCGTTTGTAAATAAAATATAAAAATCATTTTCAATAAAAGTTGGGTCATCATAGTAGAATAAGACATCTAGTTCAAGTTCCTCAAAACGATAAAAAACATATTGAATACGCAAGTACAAATATAAGCATCATTACATTTCGAAATTCAAATCCTAGGAGCATTATATATACTAAATCTCACAATTACAATCATCTTGAATATTATAAAGAAAATATATATATATATATATATATATATATATATATATATATATATATATATATATATATATATATATATATATCGAATCAACGCGGATTTATTTGGGCTACTTTTTTAATTGTGACATTTCTGTTATGGAACAAAATATGGTTTGTAACAAAACAAGGTTAATGTATTCATCCTAATCCGTTTCCATCAATTAAATTTGAATTGGTGTGTGACTAAATATCATCGATTATATTACTATTACTATTACTATTTTTATAGTTATTGTTAATGTTGTTGTTATTGTTGTTGTTGTTGTTGTCGTTACTACCACAGTACCACTAGTAATTATACTTTCAAATTTTTTATTTTTTAATAACGGTTTCGTATACACGTTTTTTGTAGGAACCAAGAACCAAACTGTTAACAAAGAATAAGAACCGAACTGTTAACAATTTATAACTCATGTGCAGGAACCGATCCGAACCGAAGTTTAAGGGTTCGGTTCCAACGGTTCTCCGGTTCTTGGTCTCAAAGTCCCACCCCTAGTCCCATCTTTCGTTTTCACTCCATCCCACTAAGTTTGTCTCGTACCAAATTTGGTAAAGTTTGTGTGTCCTAAACCATTGTTACTTTATTCGTACATTATCAATTCAATATCAACCACATAATTCTTAATAATTGCACTACCTTCTTATCTTCTAATGTTAGTGGGACGGGGAAGTACGATCTATCATGTATTACAAAGCGTAGGCCTTTTAAATTGCCCCAGCTACACAAATTAAAGTAGCAAGTTAGAGTAGCGGCCACGAATTAATTATGGTAGATTCTATGGTACCCATAAGGTACCATACCTTTGTCCACATGGACCAATGAGAATGTAGCAGTTGAATTATTTAAATCTAAATTAAAAATGATAAAATGGTGTGGTCCAATCAAATTAATGGTAGGTACGGTACCCAATTTTTAAGAAAGGTACCGAAGTTGTCACCATTAATTATACCCCTCCACCCGCGATGCGACGCACGAAGAAGGACGTGTCGATCATCTCCACACATTTCCTCATGCACACTGTCGGACACGTCAAAATTTAGCAGCCAGACAAATGGGCCCCGGGTGAATGAGGCGGGTAGACTTCCTCTCCCAAGATTCTCCCAATTCAATTTAGCACATTGGTATACCATTTTTTGTCGGGTTGGAGCTACTTTGGGATGAAACCTCAATTTTGGAATTTTCACCCCTCTCATTGCAATTAGTCTTACAATAGATTTGAAAGACATTGGACACTTTTACTTCACGTGCTACAAAATGATGCTTATAAAGACTCGCGTTTATAAGCGGCGCATAAGAAAAGCAGTGTCGTAAGCTCATGTTTATTTCAAAGGATTTAAAACGCTCTTTAACATTTAAACGTTTAAAATAACCATATACATATATAGACACACAAACATTCATGTACACAAGTATATAATATAATACGTGGGGGTCACCTCGTGCGCGTACCCAAACCCTACCCTTAACCCCACTACATGTCCCCCCTACCATGAACCCTACCCCCAATTCCACACCCTACCCCTTAACCTCTACCCCTACCACGACCTCTTACTAGTGTAGCTATACCGCGTTACCCCTACCTGTATCCTCGACCCATGTACCTGTACCCCCTACCTCGTATTCGTACCCTTCCTTGCCCTTACCCCTACCTTGACCAGTAGGCTCGCTCGTACCTTTACCCCCATCCATTAAACCCTTCCCCCTGGCGTCGAGGTAAGGGTGGGGATAAGGTAGGGGTAAGGGTGAGGGTAGGCAGGGGTATAGTGGGTATGGCCGTGGTAGGGGTAGGATCGTGGTAAGGGTAGCCAAAGGTCAGGGGTTAGGGTGTTAGAGTAGGGGTAAGGGTTAGGGTGGGATAAGGGGGTACATGGGTTGGGGTAAGGTCGAGGTAGGGCAAGCGGTAGGGGGTACGGGGGTTGGTGTAGGGGGTAAGGGGTATGAGGATGGGTAGAGGTGTGAGTGCGGTAAGGGGTATGATCGGGGTAGGGTGCTGAGGGCTTGAGGTAGGGGTAAGGTGGGTGGGTGGGGTGGGGTAAAAGGTTATGGTAGGGGAAGGGCTAGGGGTTAGGGCAAAGGTCTAAGGAGTAGGGTGGGGGTGGGGTCGGGGTAAGGTAGGGTAGGTTAGGGGTAGGGCGGGGTGGGTAGAGGTAGGGTTAGAGGGTAAGGATGGGGTCGGGGTAAAGTAAGGTAGGTTAGGGGTAGGGTGGGGGTGGGATCGGGGTAAGGTAGGGTAGGTTAGGGGTAGGGGTGGATTGGGGTAGGGTACATGTAACAATAAGGGGTAAGGGCAAGGGGTAAAAGTAATGGTAAATTCGGAAACTGAAAAAGTTTAAAGTGTCGCTTAATTAATACATGGGAGTGATATGTTTTTTGAGCACCTCTTTCAATTATTAAACAGCTTTTTAAGCAGCTTGCGTGTTTACTTCACTTCTCTTACTAACCTTATTATGACTTTAGCAATGAAGTAAACACATTCATAGCTTTCAATGGTTAACTATGGTAAGGTGTCACTGGTTTTGAGGTGTCATTAATTTTGAGGGAAGATTGTCATTGAATATGAAATTAATTATTAATAAATGAAAAGGATGCAGTTATAGTTAACTATTGAAGTGTTTTTTTACTCTGAAAATAGTTATCCTACAAATATGGATGCAGCAAATCAAATCATCGAAACAACTAGCTAACCCTTGATGACGCTCTAATAATGTCAATTACCAATAATAAAAAGTGACATCAAAGATAGTTCATTAATACTCTTTTCTATAATGTAATCATTCATATTATAATTAGTTCGTATGATCTCACACGGCTAATTATAACTTGTAACAGTATTAGTTATTCCAAGAAAAATACTCGACGATTTGAAACAAAAATTATTCTATTTCTTTTCTTCTCATCCTTCTGTATTTCTCCTTTTACATTCCCTTCTCAGTTTTCTTCTACTTTTTTATTCCAAACCATTCTTTATCATTTCATGTTGTCACATGATGCTTTGAAAATGTCAAGTTAGTATTATTACCATGGTACAATTCTTTCTTATTTCTTGTGTATTGTGGTTGTGCCGATGTATTTGTATATGTTATTTCTTATCATTAAAATGTGATGTGCTACGTCTCTGAAATGGGTGAAAGATATTTGATCTTAAATTTGAAAATACTTTTTGATAGCTTGTTTGCTTGAATAATCATATTTTTTAACATATTTGTTTGAATAAATAAATAATGACCAGTATCAGTCATTATTAGTCATATTCGAATCAATATGATGCATGTTTATTGTACCTAGACCATATTTGTGGAAATTCATTAGTTTTGTTTTAGTTTTCAAATACACTTGTGAAAATAAAAAAACTTAAAATCACAATGATCAATATAGACTTACATTAGTTATATCATGGGTAAAATATACTACGTATCTATTAAACCATTAACTATCCACACATTAAAGAACCATCAACAATCCATAATCAGCATCATACATTCAATATGATACAATTATATAAGTGCAACAAGCCGAATTCTTTTTTGAATTCACATTATGCTCTTAAAAAAATCCATAAATACTTTTTATACAAAAGATTAGTATATAGTGATATCTACAACTAGACTGCAAATGAATTTAGTGACCTATGCACTATCTACCCATGTATATGTTATACAAAAATGATGTTTGTACACACTCTCATACACACTTTTGTACACACTTATGTCTGTGAAAACTTGTTTTTTGTCTGTGAACATCGATTCACAGACAATGTTTTGCACAAACAAAATATTGTCTGTGAACGGGATTCACAGACAAAAAAAAAAGCTTCACACACATGGTGTGTATAAGGTGTGTACAAGGGTGTGTACATCAAGAATGTTTGTATATTATATGTATATATGTACCATATTTGGAAAGTGAATGAAACTAAGCCTAACTATTTTCTAAATGATGATGCATCTAAAGTTAGGATTGGATCCATGGACCATTCTAAGGTTTTAGGATAACTGGTACGCTATACTTTCGAACCAATCATGGACCTGTCAGAAGGTCAGTCATGTGAGACTTGCCATCATCATTAGCCGGAGGACTGTCCAATGGAATATCCACAGTGGCAATGATGTTAGCCATTTGTCCAGATGTTCCTGAGTTTTGGTTAGCCATGTCATGATGAGGTTGCATAGCACTCGATGGGTGCATCGGAGAATTGTCGGGTGACTCGTTTGGACTACCTCCCAAGGTTGTTGATTTCATACCTCCTCCAGGCTTCACCACATTCTTATGTTGTTTAGCCTTTTTATGCCAGTTCATTAGTGCTTTTGAAGTTTGTTCATCGAATATAGACCTCTTCATGGTTGATCCCATCTGAAAGTGGAAAATAGCACATCAAAGGGGATAAAGTGAGGCAATTGCAATAATTAAACTTAAGGCAACACGTCTAAGTACCAAAAGGATCAATTATCTCAAGAAAAAACAACTCCAAATAAAATCAACTATTTAATGACCATATTTGAAGTTAGAAACCGGCTTCATGTAATATATTCAAATTGTCGAGGTATGAAATAGTTCATCATTTCATAATTTTCATTTACCCCAGTGCTGCAAAGGCTCCCACCTACGTTGGGGTAAGGGGGGGTCGGATGTACGCAGTCTTACCCCTGTACTAGAGCACAGAGAGACGGTTTTCGGATGACCCATAGTGAAAATCGCGTCCAAAATTGCATGGATTGACTGCTGCTTCATAAAAAAGAAGCGCAGACAGTTTAGTGAGCATTTTGCTTTATTCCATCATAATCTCAAGTCAAAAAATAATGAATCTTTGGCTCCATTGCAAATGATGGAAAAGAGGTATGAAATAGTTGCTTCGATAAAATATGAAATAGTTGTTTTTTAGTCTAATTATTGATCAATGGGTGATACAAATGTTATTTAAATTTATATTCCAATAATTTGACAAGAAAGTAACTTAGTTTTTTTCAAGGTCTCGTTGTGGATTTACCTGGGTCACAAGTGCATACAATGGAAGTGTGATGTAGCTGCACAAGAATTGTACTCCAAGCCTGGCAAATTATCATCCAAAAACTTTGACCATAATGATTAAATAATTAATTATATCGTAGTTGTACATCTCCTACCAACGTGCCAATATATGCGCACATGGTGGGACTCGGAAGTTGCCATATTTTGTAAGTATAAATTTGAAAAACAACAATAAAAATAATCATATGCTTATTTGGATTCTCTTAAGATAATCGTGCCGACTCCAAGGTTGTGAAATTATCATCCAAAACATTAGACGGTGATTCATGAGTTAGTTAACCTAGTTGTACATTCGTTATTAGTCTCAAAAATGCATAATTTTAGGCCTTTTGGCCTGGATATTACTAAAAAAGAGTAAAAGAAAAAAAATGTGATTTCTTTTTAAAATCTCCAAAAATGTGATCAAAGTGATGAGGTTATGTAGCATGAATTAAAAAAGAAGCGTAAATTAACTTGAACTTACCCGAGGCAAACCCTCAGAACAGCAAGATAGAAGTTACTGTGGAAACAAGAATGCAACCCAAACTCATACTGCCATTGGAAGCATTTTATTAATATCACTATACCAAAATGACTTAAGATTAAAAAAGGAAACAAAAGAGAAAATTTCTTACAGATATCCACACGAAATATGTTATCTCAAATGCATTCTGAAAAGGTGAAAGATGAAAAGTTGCTTGTTAGAATGTTCAAATATCATAAAAGTATGATAACATAAATGTTGTAATTACTCTCTAGATGTACGCAAAATATAAATACTAGGTTTACAAAGTCTATTTTTAAGGGGGCATGTTTGTATATGTAAACATTGCATTGCTTTTTGAAAGTTATAAGTGAAAATAGTTTTGTCAATCAACATTTTATGAGAGCGTAGACTCAAAATGCTCTAAAATACCCACAGACTGTGATGTACAACAATATAACAGCCGTGAATACTGAATAGTAACATGTAACATCCTTATCCTGCATAAAATATTGTCATGAGCCTCTGACTTTTGAAATAGTGTGGAGTTTTATTGTAGTTGTGAAGGGAGAGTATCAACTCAACTACGAAGGATTGGGGCTTAGAGTTGTCGCACAAGAGCATATAGATTGAGATGTCCACACAAGAGCATAGAGATCATGATGGTTATAGACTCCAAAAGATTGATTGCCAAGTTTTTTAAAGTCAATGTTGTTGTAGCGGGTGAAGTGTTAGATTTGATCATATATAAGTTTAGAATATCCATTGATCCATTTTTATTCTACTATCGATTATCGCTTTTTAGGGCTGGCCGTTATGCTCCAATATTCAAGACTGAGGCACACTTCCAGATTAATTTATCATGTGATTCTAGGATAATATAAAAGGTTTAGACTAAACCTAGACATATGACCCAGGGCTTGATTCCTCGAAATTCGATACATATTCTTAGGGTCATAAACGAGTCAAAAAACAAGAAAAAGGAAATTGTAGAGGTTGATTTTCATCTCACTCGATTTATTCTTTTCCCTAACCACTTGGTTTTTCATACTGGTGTACATTGTGTTGCAATTAAATAACATTTCTGTTTTACCTAATTCGCTTCCTTTCCCATGTGCCTATTTTGGATAACCCTCATTCGGTGTGTGGGAGGGAGAGGGTTGAATGATAAATTATGTAATGAGTAGTTAGAATCACTATTATTTGGCATCAAACAACATTGAATATACTAGATGTTCAATAGTACTCGACTACTCGACATCCCTCATCTTGTCAAATGAACATGCACTTGTAGACCTCCGAACAAGGCAAAAGCACAATCACCATTTAAGGTTGTGAGAAACTTGTAGTTGTAGACTACAATGAAGGAACAATTAGACTCTCAAGAGGATGTTCTCTTTGGGAGGATATTCTCACACTGATTTTATTTGGTCTCAACTTAATACATAAAGCTTAATATAAACATACATCCATTGGCTACGTTTATACAAGAAGTACATGCACGCGCGCGTGCGCGCACATATATAAATGAAATGATAGGGGCAGCTGAGTACCTGGAAGAGTGTGAGATGGATAAGATGAAGGACCAACTTTGGCTTGCTAAACCAAAAATTTCTGTCTGACACTTGTACAAGAGGTATGCCTTGGACTACAGCATGCCTTTCTTGGATTTCAATAGCCATTTGAGCTATTATTGCTTGAAGCTTTGTCCCAACCGCTAATATTGTCTGTATGAACACGAGAGTTGTTGATGTACTAGAAAAATAATATTTATAAATAGAATGAGATGTTATACATAAATATTCTTACAACTAAAGGCATTATGGAAAGCCAAAACATAGTCTGCCATCCTGAAATAATTTGAAAAAAGATCCATGTTTATTCAAATAAAAAAATGTCCGACTGAATTTTTGAAGGCCAAAGCAAGAAAAATTAAAGACCTACCGCTCACATTCAGTAGAAGATAGAGAACTGCTGACATCCATAACACCAAACTGAAAGCGCATGAATAAATGATTGGGAAATTATGATGTGAAATATCGAAAGATATCATAGCAATAAAAAATATCTTCAAAAGGAGTTGAGATCAAATAAGAGACATACTTAATTCCAACAACAACCTTGAAGTCATCTTCCAATGATCTTTTAATGTACTTTTGAAAGTCAAACTTACTTCCTGGAGCTAAATGGACCTGTAGGTAAAATAATGAAGGAAAATGGGACATCATGCATATATAAATGCAATCTCCTACCATGATAGAATCATAACCCCAATACAGAGCTATATTGTTAAAAATCTCACTGAAATGAAACCGTGCCGCATAGCGAAGTAGTCAGCTCTACGAACAGACCTAAAAAATTGCCGGAAGAAGCAAGCCTGAAAAGTGTGAGAGCTTTACAATCAATTTTATTTACAAAAACATTGAAATTATCATATGTTGAGGGGCTCAAAATATATAATCACTTTATGCATCATCATGCTTTCCTAATTTAATCTTCTTCATTCATTGGTTATAGTAATTAAATAAGCCCATTGTTTTTCTTCGTATTTCTCTTACAGAGTAGAAAAGAATCGGTGTTTGAGTCATGAAACTAGTGTTTTCTTTTACAAAAGAAGTTTCCTTTGTAAGTCTGAACCTTGAAGGATCTGCAAACCCATGTGAACAAAAGTGTGAGTTGGAAGTAAAAATAGTTGAGTAGCAAAGACATTTTAAAATGTAGGAGCTTATAGTCATCGTGTAAAAAGAATACCGTTAGCTGCTTCATCTTGAGAAATTGCTTGTTCCCATTCCTTCCATCCCCGGATCTGCATATAGCAAATGAAAGGCATTGTGTCTTGATCATGAGAATGAGTAAGGACTACTAGTGGTTGAACAAGTCAATCTAACTTCCAAGGATGACAAGACTTCATGAGGGGGGGATGGATCCTTAGTTTACTTAAGAAAACTATACCATAATAACAATTAATTGATCTTTTGATGAACTGAAAAACTTGTTATACTCCGGGTTAATGGTAAAGTGTGTGTGTAAATTGATAGTGAATTGGGAAGCTTTACCTTCATTCTTCCAAGCATCATTGTTATAGCACCATAGATGACATGAAACACAGCTAAGAAGAAAATGAAGATGTGTAGTTGGTGCAAACCATTAAGAGAAATTAATGGTACATGTCCCTGTATATACAAGGATATATGATTAGAATTGACAATAGTCCATGATAAATAAGAATCTAGACTCATTTGTATATACATATCAAATAGTTACAAACCATAGCAAGACCTTATGTTGAGCCTACATGGATTACCATAACTTGACATTACAATGTGCCATTTCATTATAAATGTACATCCATTTAATAATTCCTGATGCCATTTCATTCCTTATAACTATAAATGATAATTCCTTTTTCCCACATTGATTGAATTTGGTAAGAAATGTGATGGCGTACATAGTAAAACTTTTTTCCGCCATAAAACTTCGACACAACATAATTCCAACTCTAAATAATATACGTAAGGTAACAAATCTACTGAATGGAATCAGCCATACATCCTTGCACTCCCCGGGTGCACTATCAGATGATAAAAATCTACGCCCATTCCATAGAAGCCTCCGGTGATGTTCCCCTCCTTTTTCATCTTGTTCCTCATGTTTGGCTGGGCACGGAAGCATAGTGTTACCAACTTCTACAGGGATACATATCTTAGCAATGTAGTTTTGCCCAAATGTTAGCAGCAGGGAAATAAACCCCAAAACCATGAGCTCTGCAAAAAAGGTTCAAGAAGGTAAGTCACTGCAACTAACTAGAATTTTCATGTAACCTATTAGCGCAACTCTCTTTTTATTGGGTTCAATGTTGCATAAAAAAAGGCTGGATTCTTTACCTCCTTTAATCTTCTCCAGAGCTTCATACAACGCTTTTTTTCGTTTTCTCTCAAATGTCTGGAAGAACAAGTAATCACTAATCAACAACAATACCACAAGAAATCCTACCCAAATGTAGTGGTGAAGTTAGAAATTTCATATTAAGGGGGCATAGTTTGAAATTTCTATAAAGTGGACCAAAGATTTTTATTTAAGCATACTATAAATACCCATGAATATTATAATTATACACACAAATTGTGATTTTTGGGGGAACAACACCCCCTCACCCCCTATTGCGCAAATGATACAATACATTGATTGAACATTTCTTAACCTATATAATGAAATAGAGGCGTGAGTCTCAAAATGTATAAATCATGGGCAATGGTTGATGTGATATATTTCAACCAATCTATTTCAAATCTAAGAAACAATCCATGTGAAAAGGTTATATTTAGAAGCAATGACGAATACATGGGAGGGGCAAGCAAGGGCCGCCCCGGCCTCCCAATTTTCATCAAAAAGGTGTGATCATTTCAAAATGTGTGTGTAGGCGCGCACGTGCGTGCCATTGTCGAGAGAGAAGAATGAAAAATAGAGAAAACAAAAAACACAATATAAGAATTATTTTCTCAGGCATTCGTTGAATTTAACCCCATTCAGGATAAATACCAAAGCATATTGAGTTGTAGCTTAAAACTAATAGAAACATTAGTTAATGCAAAGAAAATTCTAAAAATGGAATAACTAGGAAAAGGAGGAGCATAAATGTGCTTCTACGCGGAAAAGGGGAAAAAAGAGAGAGAAAGTTTTGATCACCGATCCAATTTTGTGAAGCATTTTTTCCAGCATTAAGGAAATAACTACAATGACCAAACAAACTATTGCAACAGCCCATGTTGGTGTCTGGTCAAGCTCTCTTGACCCCTTCCCTCCACCACCACCTCCCATTTTCTTCTTCCTTTGAAAAACTTTCAGATATATGTGCACGAACTTACTTCTCCTCAATCCTGATTCTGTTAATATATTCTTCTTCCATGCAATTTTTCAAACATATCATGTGCTAAAGAAATGGACAATGAAAATATGTGCTCCTCGGCAATAGCAAAAGGATTTTGCATTGTTTTTCGTTAAGGTTTTGTTTGTGAAAACCAAGAGGCGGTTGCATGTAATTTTGGGAAGGAGGCAAATAAGAGTTTTGGCAGTTGAATGATATGGGTGACATTCATGCAAAATTTTGTCTTTGCGTCAGAGCTTGTAACAACCATTGCTCATACATCAATTCTATTGGCTTTCAATAGCTAACGGCTATAAATTAAAACGTTGGCTCACCTATAGTTTATTTATTTATTTATTTATTTATTTAACTAATACATAATAATTGTTAATAATTAAAGAAAGATTGTATTTCATCCACCATAACCAATTTAAGCTCAGTGTGATCTATGAATGGTGATCGGCACTTGGACCGGATGATCTGGTAATTAAATAATTAATGAATAAATAACTTTTGTAATGCTATATAGTCCGTATTACATACTCCGCCCGTTCTGAAAAGGTTCGCCAAATTGACTTTTCTCCGAGGGCGGATCTATTAATACAATCCCACTAAATCCATGTAATGTATTTGAATATAAGAAAACATGTATTGCCCCCAATAAAAAATCATCGTTGCCCCCCAATAAAGCAGCCTCCTAGCTGAGCGATTTGTTTATGGTAAGCTCATCTAAAATGATAAAATCTGAAATTAAGATGTCAAAACCGATATGCTGAGGCAGGAAGAGTAACGAATGTGTTGCTAATTTATTAGTGGGATTGTAAATTTATAGTGAGATTCAATATACTAGGATTTTTTTGCAATTCAATATATATATTAGGATTATTAATTGTTTGTTTGTAAGCGTTGAATGTTATGTTTTTGAAAATTTAAAATCCCAATCACTGCCATATCTCTAATCTAAAGTGATAGTGATTACTGATTAGTGAAGAAGTCTTACATCTAATTTATTTAATTTAGTTTATGATTTGCTAAGATAGTTATTATTATTAGAAAAATGTCATTTAGATAGTCAAATATAAAAAGCCTAAATAATACGTTGTTTTAAATAGTTAAATTAGAGCTAATTTAGTGACCCTATTTTTCAACTTATCGGGTTTATCGGTCAGCTTTTTCTCCAAACATGTAACTTTGGATTTTGCGCGTTGTATTGTGTAATAATAAGAAAAAGTATGGTTGAAGTAACTTTTCCGGCTGTATTGGTTGAATTTACTGTAGATGATCATTTTAGCTGTTTTTCATGTATTTTTTTCTTTAATTTATTAATAAAATATATTTTAAATATATAGTTTTTTCATAAATCAACAGAATCAGCCAATCCAACCACTTTAACTAGAACTTCATGAATTTCAGCAAAATCAGCCGATTCACCCGATTTAAGTGTTACCAAACGATTCCCCACTGAAAATCATGAAGACTAATCGTGTAGTAGAATTGATGATAACTTTTTTGTGATGATATGTTTTTCTTGAAAAATACGATAGTATGCTTAAAAATGTTATCCAAGAAAAAAAATCTGCAAGAACAATTGTGATGTATTTTGTTAATACTACTAATTTTTGTTCCTCTAAACTACTTCTTTCTTAACTAATCTGCCCCCAATAACTTTTTATCATAGATCCGCCACTACTTTTCTCAATCAATGACAATCAACTTTAACCAATTATATTTTTTAATACGAAATTATTTTGAATTTTAAAGTTATATCAAAATGTTCCTTATTTGAAATATTTTCATAAAAGTATAAAATTTATAAGTTATATATAAATATAATAATTAAAATCATTGTCCAAAGTTTGCCATCATTGACCAAGAAAAATCAATATGGTAAACCTTTTCGGGACGGATGTAGTAGTATATACTACTCGTATTATATTATAACTAGTATAATATTAAAAATGCTTCCCATACATAATGGGTATAGTACGAAATATTATACACTTTTGCAAGGTAAGATAATTTTTTATTTGATTCAAAATTTATGTGTGTACATATGTACGGTATACGTACATATATACAGTATACTTTTTTTTGAATTCACAAACACAGTAAATTAGAATTTAAACAATAGAATTTAAATAGCAGTTAACATGCATGAATGCAGTAATAAAGAAGCACAAAATTCATAATTGAACTATAATAAAACATAAATTGTCGAGACATAAAAACAAAACATTTCAACATGCCAAAATGGCCATAGCAATTGTCCAGAAAAGGAAGATACAAGATGTCCAGGTTACATTCAACACACACCCACATTACACCAGGCCAACAACGCCATTCTGGTTAATGTCGGGGAAAGATCATCCATTCTAACTTCATCACTTTCACGGAGGCAGTTCATTGGAATAGGGGTCGGGGTACGCAAAGCCGAGAGATCAAGCATCGGGATTGACAGGTTAGAGCTTTGAACTTGTTGCATGATTGCCATAAAGGCGTTGGACATGTTCTCCATCCGAGTTCGCCAAAGTTGCTCCTGCTTGGCGAATCGAGCTTCCACTTGCGCTTGGATGTGGGCATCAATCTCCTCTTGGGAGGGCCCCGAGCGTCGACTAGAACATTCAATGCTCCCGGAGAGAGACTCCGCTTCAGACCCAGTCCCGTACCGCCATCCTCTATATGTGGGAACCACCTTGCATAAAAGCTCAGAATCATCAACATCATACGATTTTCCTTCAGATTCAGCCTGCACCTTCAACTCATTGTATTTTTGCTGCAAATGATTGAGAATATATAAATACAAACATTACAAATTCTAAATTCAGAAAATACAAAACTAGAATTTTAAAATCATACTGCAATGTTCAGAATATATAAATTCAGAAATTTAAAATTCATTATCAGGCTATATAACCGAAAATAAATCAAATTTCAGAATGTATTAATAATCTGTAGATAATAACATACCTGAGTCTCAACAACACGCTGTGGAGGACTGGAGGGTTACCACCCTTTGGCACATATACCTTTTCGTACACTTCGAGAGGAGGCCAATTCAAATCTTTGGTCTATGAACACAGAAATAATAAATTATGTGAGATAGTCATCATAGAATTAGTATACTAATATTATATATAGTATTTCCTAATTCAATTATACACATGAACTTACCATTTTTTCAACATGTCTACTGACTGGAATCCGGCCTCCGTGATACTACGACTCCTTGGGCTTCTGAGAGTCGCGATTTCTCTTCCCGGCAGCACTCTTCTCCTTGAATGAATCAAACTCCAATACTCTTTCAACAACATCCAATCACCATCACATATCTAGTCCAGCTTCTTGTTATGACGTTGTGTCCGCCCAATGTTTTTGCTTAACCATTTAGAGCCCCTAAAATGAAACCTCCTTTTGATTCTGCTAGTGTGGCATGCATCCCATTCATACTTTTTCTACAGTCAACAAGCATGATTTATTAACATTTTGAACCTAATAAACAAGTTTTCTACTGAATTACAAATATTTAAAATTGTCTGCGTGAATGGCATCTTTAAAGTACGTACCTCAAACAACCGCCACCACTTTTGTTGTTGATCAACACCCGCATGCTTGTATGAGTGCCACGGCCCATGAAAATTGTTGGTAATGATAGAATTAATAACAATAGGGTTGCCACATGGAAATAGTGTTCAAAATCATCATATTAATTAAAGTAAAATACAATTGAATAAAGACAAGTAATCATACCTGCGCATTTCATGGGGTAAGATCTAGATTTTTGAAACATTCTCGGCAGACCCATGGCCCATAAAGTCAGATAGTTCATCATGCAAGGCTCTTGATTGAACCGATTCAAGGGAAGTAGTCACATGAGAATCCTGAGGAGAAGCCTGGTCAACATTCTGATTTTGGTCGACGGAGCCTTCACGGAGCGGACGTCCCCTATGTCCTCCACGGCCTCCACTAAGAGAATTGAAACTTCCTCTTGCAGCGAACATTGTTGTCTACACCTGAAAAATTTTACTTGTAAAACTTCAAGTTTTGCAAACATATTACTAACATGCAAATAGGGATTATTGAAGCAATTTTTTTTATTAACAGTAACATTAAAAACCATTTAAAAACCCTTAAAATTCACAAACAGTGCCCATGTAGAATAAACATGGATTACTGGTTCATACAGGTGTATGAAATTAACAGTATGAATGCACATGTGGATTATTGTCCGAATTAACAAAAAACTTCTTATGACTTGTTGATTAAAAACTTATAAAAAACACTAAAAACCATTAAAACCCATTAAAATTGACAGACAGACAGTGAGAATGTAGAATAAACATTCATTACTGGTTCATACACGTGTATGAAATTAACAGTGCGAATGCACATATGAATTAAGAATAAATGAATGTCATGACGTAAACTAATTCAGAATTTATTAATTGTGGATAAAAAAATCAGTTCATAGTTTCTATAAATAAGGTATTTTCCGAAACATAATTGTGTGAATAAATCGTCCAAAATAATATTTCGAAGTTATCACTAAAGTATAAATATATACTCCATCCCGTTCCAAAAGATCTTAACACTTTGACTTCACAGTTTTTAAGAAAATAAACATTGTTTGGCACTGTTTGACACTGTTTGGCACTGTTTGGCACTGTTTGACATTGTTTTGTGTAGATTTATTTGCCAAATAAGGCAAATAAGGAAGTGTAAAGATCTTTCTGTTACTGCTAAAAATGTAAAGTGTAAAGATCTTTCAGAACCGGAGAGAGTAACACATAAAAATGAGACCGACTTATATATATTGCGAAAAGCCAATACATTTTGACATTATAAAAATAAATTTTCGTTATATATATATATAATACTCATTTTTGAAGAGTACATAAATGGTATAAACAGTTCACGAAAAATAGACAGAAACATGATTCAAGGAACAAATGACCTGAGTGCCGAATTAGAAGTGAGAGGCGTCTACGGACCGGAGTAGAAGTGAGAGGCGTCGCCGTACCGAAGTAGTAGTGAGAGGCATCGACGGACCGGAGTAGAAGTGAGAGGCTCCGGTTTAGCAACCTCTCTTATTGTTGCCTATTCTGATGCTGATTGGGCCCGGTTGTCCAGATAGCAACCGCTCCATCACCGGTTATGCTATTTTTCCGGGTCCAAATCTGATTTCCTTGCGGTCAAAGAAGCAACCCACCGCTTCAAAACCCTC